CTACCACATATACAATATATGTAACGTAATTAACGCACACACTCAGACACCCCAATTAGTATCTATATTATGTTATAATCATAATGCATACACTGAATTTTTAGTTAAACATTTTTATGCACTGATTATTTATCAAATTAGTTATACTAATTCCAGAAGAATGTTGTGGTCACAGTACAAATCCACGAACGCAAAGACTTTAACGTGCTTGAAATAAAGTTATTGAATGACAGAATTAGTAATAATACAAAAAAACTGCACTCTTAAAAGTCGTATTGCTTTAAGTTGCGGTCCATTTCAGTTTGTTTTGAGTGTACTGATTTAGTGTGACTGTAATTTACGTAGCTTATTGGGATAAAATATCAATTATTTAGCAGGGATGGGAGATATGATAAGGATATAGAACGACGAGTGAATACGGGAAATAGAGTAAATGGGGCCCTGCACTCTATTGTGAAGAGTCAAAATGTGTCGAAAAAGGCACGTATGGCAATTCACAATGCTGTGTTGGTCCCTACTTTAACGTATGGTAGTGAAAGTTGGGTGTGGCAGAAGAAGCACGAGAGTAGAATGAACGCAGTAGAAATGTGGTCGTTAAGGAGTATGTTAGGGCTGAATCTGAATGACAGGGTAATAAATTGTGTAATAAGAGAAGAGTGTGGTTTGCAAGATGATGTTGTGACCAGGATTAAGAAAGGAATGCTTCGGTGGTTTGGTCATGTGGAAAGAATGAATGAGGAAAGAGTGACAAAGAAAATTTATGTTGCAGAAGTGAATGGCAGAGTCGGAAAGGGACGTCCTAGGCGAAAATTTATCGACCAAATTGGCGATTTATTGAAAACGGGCCAAATTAGGAGTACCCTTAACCGACGTGCATGTATGCGTAGGTGTATGGATGTGAAGGAGGTGAGAGAGGTGTGTCAGGATCGTGCCAAATGGAAGTCTGTAGTCTCTGCCTACCCCTCTGGGTGACAGGCGTGAGTGTTTATGTATTATGTATATGTAAAAATTACCTAAATTAAAAATGATAGGAATCGATTCAGTAAACGATTCTGAACAAACTACTTTCTCAAAGTGCGTTAATTATGTTACATGTTGTAGAAGGTTATAAGAATTTTACCACGTAACAATGAAATAAAATGAAAGTGAAATGAAAGTTACTGTTATTATTGTTTCAGGATGATTATTGTTTCCACAATTTTCTTAAATTAGTACGAGTTCAAGGACTTCTTTTAAGCATGAAGATACTTGTGGTAGAACAACCATAATATTATTTATATATAATATAATAATTTATATATATAAACAATATCATTTATATATAATATATAATAATTTTATATAGTAAAATATATGAAATGTTTAATCCTCGCCCACACCAATGAAATTGTTAATTGCAATTTAACCACATTGCAAATGAACACCCAATAAATATTTAATAAATCATCATTCTCTAAACCATTTCCCATTATCTGGGGTCGGCGCAGTAAATCTTCTTGTTCCATTCCTCTCTATCAGCCGTCATTTCCATACTTACTCCTTTCATTCTCATATCACTCTTCACGCAATCGATCCATCTTTTATTCGGCCTTCCTCTGCCCGTGTGTCCCTCCACATTCATATTCAACACTCGTTTTGTGACATGACTTTCATCCCTCCGCATCACATGCCCAAACCATGCCAATCTGCTTCCTCTCACCTTTTCTACCACTGGCGCTACTTTCAGGCTTCCTCTTATATACTCATTCCTTATCTTATCCATCCTTGTCACACCACACATCCATCGTAACATTCTCATTTCATTCGCATGCAGTCTATTTTCATCCTTCTTCTTGACGGCCCAGCATTCACTTCCATACATGACGACAGGTCGGATGATCGATTTGTAAATTTTCCCCTTCAGCCTTATTGGCATTCGGGGATCGCACGTTGTGGCTGTGACCTGTCGCCATTTCATCCACCCTGCGTTAATCCTATGCTGCACAGCTCTATCTATTCCGCCGTCGCCTTGAATGAGGGAACCGAGGTACTTGAATTCTGAGCAGGTCAGTATAGCGCCATCCAACGACATGGGTACAGGACTGGAAAGACCGCCGAAATCACAGCACAGATATTCGGTTTTGGATCTGCTGATCTTCAAGCCAACACTTTCCAGCCTCTGTTGCCACCCCGTCAGTCTGCTCTGTACCTCGATGCCTTCTTCCCCGACAAGCACGATGTCATCGGCAAAGAGCATGCACCAGGGTGCCTCATCCTGCAGGTCCGACGTCAAAGCGTCCATAATCAGTAGGAAGAGGTAAGGGCTCAATGCCGACCCTTGGTGCAGCCCTACCGCCACATCGATACTGCCCGTAGTTCCCGCGGCAGATCGTACACATGTACGGGATGCTCTGTACATAGCACGGACTAACCTCACATACTTCCCAGGCATACCTTTCATCTTTAACGCCCACCACAAAACCTCACGGGGAACCCGATCGTACGCCTTTTCAAGGTCGACAAAAACCATGTGCAGATTTTTATGCACGCGCTTGTACTTTTCGCACAATTGGCGTAATGCGAAAATGGCATCTGTCGTACCTCGACCGGGCATGAATCCGAACTGGTTTTGTGTTATCTCACACTCTTCTCTCATTCTTTTCTCTATTATTCTTTCCCAGACTTTCATCGTATGTGACATGAGTTTTATTCCCCGGTAACTGCTGCAGTTTTGAACGTCTCCTTTGTTTTTAAAAATGGGGACCAGTATACTACTGCACCATTCCTCAGGTATTTGTTCTTCCTGCAACAATTTACCGAAAAATAAACTCAACCACTTCCATCCATCCGCACTCAGCAACTTCCACACTTCTACTGGTATTCCATCTGGGCCGACCGCCTTCCCATTCTTCATATTCCTAACAGCCATTTTTACTTCTTCCACACTAATTTCTCTCACTAAGCCCATATTCACTGGTGGGTTTTCAAGCATACCATTCCATTCATTCTCCTCATTCATCAATTTCTCAAAATACTCCTTCCATCGCTTCTTTATACTTTCATCGTCAGTCAAAATCCTTCCAGAATCATCTTTTATACATTTTACATGTGAAACATCTCTTCCATTCCTTTCTCTCGCTTTTGCAATTTGAAAAAGTCGTTTTTGACCTTCGGGGCTTTCAAGGGACCGATATAATTTATCTTGCGCCTCTGCCCTACAAATAGCAACTTCCTTCTTTGCTCTCTTCTTACATTCTTTATACGCCCCTCTCTTACTTTCTTTTATGGAATCATTCTGGTCTTCTACGCTCTGCCATTCTTTAAAGGCATTTTTCTTTTCTCTCAAAACTTCTCTAATACTTTCACTCCACCACCACCCATCCTTATCTATCATACGCTTCCCTTTTGTTTCTCCTAACACCTTCCTTGCCACACTTCGGATACAATCAGCCATTTCCTTCCAGCACTCATTCACACTCATTCCTTCCATATCACCCATCTCTATCATCTTGTTTACAACTAGCTCTCTAAATTCACTTGCATACTCCTCCTTATGCAACAAATGCCACTTTATTTTGGGTGGGGGACGATCCTTATGTTTGTTGAGGCGAACAGTTAAGCAGATGTCAGCCAGCAGAATTCGGTGCTGGGATACTAAGTCTTCACCTGGAAGCACTTTGCAGTTTTTTACACTCTTGATTTGGTTCCGTCTTATCAGAAGATAGTCGATCTGTGTCGCGTGGTGGCCACTTTTATAAGTAACAAGATGCTGATCTCGTTTTTGGAACCACGTGTTTACTACAGCCAGGTCGAAAGCACATGCTGCTTGCAGAAGAACTTCCCCCCTCACGGTTCCGCACTCCGTACCCCCATCCACCGTGTACTCTTTTATACCCGTCATTCACTCTCCCTACATGTCCATTAAAATCTCCTCCCATATAAACATCCTCACTCTCAGGTATTCCCATCATCATACAATCAAATTCCTCCCAAAACTTCTCTTTCACACTCTCTTCACAGCCTGTTTGCGGAGCATACACACTTACAACATTCACTACTTTGTTTTCAATCATTAATTTAACAACTATCATTCTGTCATTTACTCTTTTCACATCTGTCACTCGTTCTTTCATTCCACTATCTAACACAACTCCTACTCCATTTCGCTTCCCATCACTTCCACAATAATAAAACTTGTATCCTTCCCCAATCTCTCTTGCTTTATTGCCCTTCCATTTTGTTTCCTGCAAACAGGCAACATTCACTCTTCGTCGTTTCAAAACATCTGCTAACTCTCTTCCTCTTCCAGTCATCGTACCTACATTCCAGCTTGCAAACCTCACTCTGACATTCTTCTCTCTCCGGGCTCGCCTCTTACGTCGTACCCGCTCCGTAAGGTGCGACAACCCTTGCCCACTTCCCACAGGAGCCGGGTGCTGCACCTGCGCGTCGCCTGCGGGGTACGCCCTAGCCCTGTCATATATCCCACAACTCGTAATATTCATAGGTTTACTGCATGGGATTTGGCAAAAGTTTTACAGTCGGCCGCCTGCCTGACACCAACCCTCTTTGGGTATGCTATTGTTGGTAGAGGAAGCTACCATTTTGGGAAAAGGAAAAAGAAGGTTGGGGGTAGGAGCGCAGGTGTAAGGATACTGTTATCTCGGCAGGAAAGGTATGAGAATAACAGTAGCTCGGGGAGCCGGGGTCGCGTACCCGTATTCCATAACAGGATCACCGGAAAGGTAGACCAGCATGAAAACCCCCTGACTATAATAAATATTTAATAAATATATAGGAAATATTTATCTAAATCGCAACTCTGTGTTAATTGTCATTATCAAGCAAAAACAAGAAGTTTGAAGCTTGCTCTTAAACTATTTTAAAATAACTTTATATATATATATATATATATATATATATATATATATATATATATATATATATTATAAAATGTGAAAGATTTTTGTTTACCTATTTTTTATACATTTTATATTTGAATTATAAATTATCTATTGCAGGTCGATGAACTTTACTTGGAGATTCTCTACGAGATTTTACACAATGTGGGTGGATGCGACATGGGCTGCGAGGTGGGACAGCAGGTGATGCTGTCTTACGTCCAAGAGGCATTTAAAATTGCCAATGAGAAGCATACGCAGTTGTTAACAAAAGCTGAGGCAAAAGAACCGCCCGAGTTAATGTTGAATGTAGAGGTGGTGGAAGCTAAAGACCTGGTGCCCAAAGATCCCAATGGATTGAGTGATCCGTTTGTTACGATATATTTAATGTCAAACTCTTCTCAACGGTACAATACTTCAGTGAAATCGAGCACATTAAATCCATTATGGGAGGAACATTTTTCATTGTAAGTATGGCAATTGAAATAAAATACTAAAAGCATATTATACATTTCATATATAGCATTTTAAAACTGCTTAAAATGGGCACCTCCCCCTGTAGAGAGGATGTGCCCTAACGTCACGCATGGCAGACGGATAGACGATCGCAGTTCTGCATTGTTTATTTCTTATTATTTTTTTCTTTTTTTATGTAGTAAGAGTGGCAAACGAACATAATGTCCATCAGATGATAAGTCCACCCTGTGACGCATAGACATCTACATTTATCACCAATTAAGAATCAAATTTAATCAAATCAATTTTATGGACCGGTGTTTGCAAACTTTGAAAGATGAAGAATGTGGGTTAAGAATGGGCGAGTTAACCGTCAAATGCCTTTTGTATGCCGATGATCAAGTCATACTTGCGTCATCGGCGGCAGAGTTGCAAATGATGGTTACATTAATGAACTGGGAATTAAAAGAAAGGGGAATGAAAGTGAACGCAAGTAAGACGAAAGTGATGGTTTTTGAAAGAGAAGAAAGCAAAACGGTATGTGAAATAAGAATAGAAGGAGAGTTGATTGAGCAAGTGGATGAGTTTGTGTATTTGGGATGTGTATTTAGCAGGGATGGTAGATATGATAGGGATATAGAACGACGAGTAAATGCGGGGAATAGAGTGAATGGGGCACTACACTCTATTGTGAAGAACCAGAATTTGTCAAAACAGGCACGTATGGTAATTCATAATGCTGTGTTAGTCCCTACTTTAATGTATGGTAGTGAAAGCTGGGTGTGGCAGAAGAAGCACGAAAGTAGAATAAATGCTGTAGAAATGCGGTCTTTAAGGAATATGCTAGGGTGTAATCTGAATGACAGGGTGAGAAATTGCGTGATAAGAGATAAATGTGGTATGCAAGATGATGTTGTGACCAGGATTAAGAAAGGAATGCTTCGGTGGTTTGGTCACGTAGAAAGAATGAATGAGGAAAGAGTGACAAAGCAAATTTATGTGGCAGATGTGAATGGCCGAGTCGGGAAGGGACGCCCTAGGAAAAAGTTTATCGACCAAATTGGCGATATTTTGAAAATGGGCCACGTTAGAAGTACCCTTAACCGACGAGCATGTATGCGTAGATATGGATGTAAAGGAGGCGAAAGAGGTATGTCAGGATCGTGCCAAATGGAAGTCCGTAGTCTCTGCCTACCCCTCTGGGTGACAGGCGTGAGTGTTTATGTTATGTTATTATGTTAAGAATCAAAATGCAGATGCGTTGTCATCCCTAAGAAAATGGTAAAGTCATACTGCAGCTATATTGGTAGTATAGTTGTAGCACAAATGGGTCGGCTCGACCGGGGTAGGACCACGATATCACAGAATACCAGCGTAAAATAGTAGCTTAATGCTGTTGTGTTTCGTATGGTGAGTGTAGGGAACCGGATACCCTTTTTACTGGAATCGAGGCATTCCATCTTAGTTCTCACGGGTAACAACGCATTTGCATTTTGATTCGTAATCGAGGATAGATGTAGATGTCTGTGGCGCACAGCAACTATATACCATCAGGTGGACTGTGTGCTCGTTAGTTACACTTCTATAAAAAAATATAAAAAAGGTTCTTTAAAAAACCCCAACGTCATAACTGTGATGCTGCTGCCTGTCGCTTTGATGATTTGTTTAATTAAAAAAACACTAAAAAGATTTAAGAATACAAATATCCCTTGTGGGGTGTAATGGACGAAGTTACTGTACCAGTGTTATTTGTCGCACTAATCGTTTCTTGGGGAAAACTGGAATAATTCCGCCAAAATGGATATTTTACGCCGGGTGCAAATGAGATGGTATACCGACATCTATAGGGAGCCATAACATTTTATCCGGTATTTTGTATACGACACACATATCGTAATTTTTTGCACCATTGAAATTTAATCGCACGAAATGGAATGATGATCACCTCATGCCGTCATTGTGCTGGGAAAATATTAACACCACGCGGCTCACTTACTTACAATATAATCAACGATTAATTAATTGACGATAGAATATGCCTCTTAATATTTATTTCAATTAGGATAATTGTTACTTACAGGGTATCATCCACTGCTGAACGTGGTTTACGAACTGCTGAAGTTCCGTCTTAGATTGCCTCATAGAGGGAATTTTGCCGTAGATGCCACGTTTGGCAGGTGGGCAGGTGTACGTGGTAAAGCCACGCTGCAGCTATATTATGTTTGCAGCATGAATGGATCAGCTCGACCGGGGTAGGACCACGCTCACACAGAATACCAACGTAAAATAGTAGCTTAATGCTGCTGTGTTTCGTACGGTGAGTGTAGGGAACTGGAACCCGTTTTACTGAAATTGAGGCATTTCATGTTGCTCCTCAGGGGTGGCAAAGCGTCTGGATTTTGATTCGTAATCGAGGTTAAATGTGGATGTCTATAGGCCACAGCATCCACTTGCTATCAGGCGGACTGTGTGCTCGTTTGTCACCCCTATCCTATTTAAAAAAAAAACGCAGTTGTTTTATTATTTTCAATTGTTATCGTGAAAATTTTAACGGTTTGCATCAAGTCGTTTATAATTTTTTTATGTTTAAGGCTAGAGTGAATAGGCTTTTGTTAAGGTAAGTTAGTGCGCTCTACCATCTTAGGCTACATCACAACTTACTTTCAACTGGGGTAGTAGCCAAGCACTGAGTTATAATAGTTAAAAAAAAAGTTTCAGTTTCTCTTTGTCGCTTACGACACCCTGATACCCACGGTACCTCATATCCACAGATAATATTACAAAAGAAATGATAATATTTAAAAATGAAGGAATTAATGAGGAAAGAGTGACAAAGCAAATTTATGGTGTAGAAGTGAATGGCAGATTCGAAAAGGGACGTCATAGGCGAAAGTTGATCGACCAAATCGGCGATGTGTTGAAAATGGACCTAATCAGGAGTACAGTGGACACCCGGTAATCCGACAAACATTTTGCAGGGCAGTGTCGGACTATATTTGTCGGATTATAGAGTACTGCCTAAGACCCTTATAGTCCGGATTTTTTTTACAAAAGAGTACCTTGACCGACCAATTACAGATCCAGTGATAAGATGCTATATGTTATACATATATATGTAATCTGAAGTACAAATCATACTTCATTATGTAATGTCATATTTAGTAAATTAAATAACACAATAGAAAGCTTACGTTTTATTATAAAATTAACGTCATTAAAGCTATAGAACTAACAAAAAATATGCAATAACTTTTCATTAGGAAATAAATGTGTACAAACAAATGTATATACTAAAATTAATCAAAAATTATAAATCAATCAATTTAAAAAGCATCAATTTAAGAGTTGTTATCAAGAAGCAATAACTCTATAAAAATTATGATCTTTCGACCATTTTCAGAATCAAATTTTTCAATCAGAATCAAAACAATTCCCTGCGCGTCGCACAATAATGGTGGTGCGTACAAGTTATAACTTGTTCAATCATGCATTAGCGAAGATTGTCAAAAATATTCAATAATAAATAATAAACCATGTCGGATTACAGGGGTTGCCGGATTAGATAGGGGCCTGATTACCGGGGGTCCATTGTATCCTTAAGAGACGAGCATGTATGCGTAGGTATATGAATGTGGAAGAAGCGAGAGAGATGTGTCAGGATCATGCCTTATGGAAGTCTGTAGTCTCTGCCTACCCCTCTTGGTGACAGGCGTGATTGCTTATTTTGTTTATGTTACGTTAATATTACAAAATATTTGTAGTTAATTTCAAACGTATTGAATCAACTCCACTACAAACGTAAAACCATAAAACATTTACCTATAGCACAATTTAACGATACCAATAAGCGAGGCAAATCGCTCAGCTAGGCCTTGCTCTTGTCAGAGTTTTGTAATGATCGTTTGCTTACCGCGCTCTATTGTGGTATTAATAATATATTATTTTCAGGCCAATGCCGGAGAATCTACACGAGGACTCTTTGATACTAGAAGTGTGGTAAGTCTAGTTTTAAATATAAGGATTTATGAAGTAGAAATAAAAAAGTGAAGTTATAGCTTATACTCGTATTGACCCAGACAGAGGCCATCTTTAATTTCAGTTATATAGTAATTTTTCTGCCGCAATGTTCCTGTGCGGGTTGGCGGCCTTTACATGCTTTAAAATATTTTTATTTTACGGGTTTCTTTTTTCGTTGAACGAAAACATCGTGGTTTTGGTTCACAGCTAGGCTCGTGGTAAATCACGGGGTGCTGGCGAGGATCGAATTTGATAATAAAATAGAGGCTTCATGTGCCCAACAGTCAGAAATAATTGTAGGCTATTAGTTTCTTTTCTTAGAATAATACATAATACATACATAAACACTCACGCCTGTCACCCAGAGGGGTAGGCAGAGACTACAGACTTCCATTTGGCACGATCCTGACACACCTCTCTCGCCTCCTTCACATCCATACACCTCCGCATACATGCTCGTCGGTTAAGAGTACTCCTAATTTGGCCCGTTTTCAATAAATCGCCAATTTGGTCGATAAATTTTCGCCTAGGACGTCCCTTTCCGACTCTGCCATTCACTTCTGCAACATAAATTTTCTTTGTCACTCTTTCCTCATTCATTCTTTCCACATGACCAAACCACCGAACCATTCCTTTCTTAATCCTGGTCACAACATCATCTTGCAAACCACACTCTTCTCTTATTACACAATTTCTTACCCTGTCATTAAGATTCAGCCCTAACATACTCCTTAACGACCGCATTTCTACTGCGTTCATTCTACTCTCGTGCTTCTTCTGCCACACCCAACTTTCACTACCATATGTTAAAGTAGGGACCAACACAGCATTGTGAATTGCCATACGTGCCTTTTTCGACACATTTTGACTCTTCACAATAGAGTGCAGGGCCCCATTTACTCTATTTCCCGCATTCACTCGTCGTTCTATATCCTTATCATATCTCCCATCCCTGCTAAATACGCAGCCCAAATATACAAACTCATCTACTTGCTCGATCAACTCCCCCTTCTATTCTTATTTCACAAATCGTTTTACTTTCTTCTCTTTCAAAAACCATAACCTTCGTCTTACTTGCGTTCACTTTCATACCCCTTTCTTTTAATGATCTGTTCATTAATGTAACCATCATTTGCAACTCGGCCGCCGACGACGCAAGTATAACTTGATCATCGGCGTACAAAAGGCATTTGACGGTTAACTCACCCATTCTTAATCCGCATTCTTCAACTTTCAAATTTTGCAAACAACTGTCCATAAATAGGTTGAACAGCCACGGGGAAGCTACACAGCCCTGTCTGACACCTTTATGGATGTCAAACCAGTCCGAGTAGACCCCGTTGATCCTAACACAAGCACTAGAGTCCCTATAAAGGGACTCCAATGCCCGTATCAAGCCAGCGCTCAACCCAAATGAGTTCAGTGTTTGCCATAGCACATCCCTATTCACTCTGTCATAGGCCTTTTCCAAGTCCATGAACGCACAAAAAACCTTTTGGTTTTTGGCCAAAAACTTCTCCGCGATCATGCGCATGGAAAAGACTTGATCTGTACATCCCATTCCCTTTCTAAATCCTGCTTGCACATCCCAAATTTTTCCATCAGTTTCTTTCATGACCCTTTCAATCAGTACCTTAGCATACAGTTTTCCCACAATGCTAAGAAGGCTGATGCCACGGTAGTTTTTACAGTCCTGCTGCGACCCTTTTCCCTTATATACTGGGACTATCACGGCTTTGCACCAGTCTACCGGTACCCGCTTCAGTTCCCAGCATAAATTAAACAAGGTGTGCAGCAGGCCTGCCACCACTTCCTCTCCAGCCCTTAGCATTTCGAGTGAAACTCTATCATATCCGGCAGCCTTACCTGCTTTCATGCTTTTCATTGCTTTCATTATTTCACCTACACTAATCTCGCTACCTCTTTCCTCTTCTTTCGGAATTTCTACTTCACTTAGTACACACGTTGTCTCCTCACTCATAAACACACTTTCAAAATATTCCTTCCATCTCTTTAAACTCAAAACTTCATCATTCAGAATATAGCCATTCTCGTCTCTTATAGCATTCATCATAGGCTGTTTTGAATGTCCCCTGGCAGTTCTTACAAGTTTCCAGAACATTTTAATATTTGCCTGGAAATTATCCGATATTCTTCTATCATTCTTATCCGTTCTTTCTTGCTTTTTTCTTTCAACTACTTCTTTTACTCTCTTATTAAGATGTCTAAAGACTGCCTTTTTTCTTTCAATATCATCATTCGTACCGCTAGAATTACCAGCCTTTGTTGCTAGTAAATCTAGCCATGCTCTCTTCTTTGCTTCAACTTCCATACGTACCTCATCATCCCACCATAACGTATTATTTTTCCTTTCATTCTTTCTCTTACTAACACCACATACTTCGGTAGCTGCATCCACTAAACCTTTCTTTTTTACATTTTGCCATACATTCTCCAAGTCTAACTCCTTCATACATAATTCATCCAAACCACTTATATTTTCTTTCAGTCTACATTTGAACTTCTTTTTCTCACCTTCATCTTGTAACCTTTCTGTTCTAATACGCTGTAACGCAGTGGTAGACACAGATGACCGATGGCGCCAACGCCTGAATAGACCATTAATTCGGCATAGAACCAAATAATGATCCGTTCCTACGTTAGAACCCCGGTAAACCCTTGTATCTACAACTGCGCCCCTCAATCTTTCATCCACAATTATTAAATCTATCATGCTTCTATCGTCACCTCTTTCCCAAGTATACATGTGAATCCTCTTGTGGCGAAAGCAAGTGTTCGTCACAAAAAGATTCTTTTCCATACATACGGTGAGGAGACTTTCACCATTCTCATTTATACTTTCATCACCAAACGTTCCCAATATCCTTTCATAACCAAGCCTCCTCACCCCAACCCTTCCATTAAAATCTCCTAGCATAATAATATTTTCATTTCCCTTACACTCCATTAACACCATCCTTACCATTTCCCAAAACTGCTCTCGGATATAAGTGGGCTTAGACATGTCTGGGGCGTAGACCCCTAACACAAACAACTTCTTTAAGCCCACTTTCATTCGTATCCACAGCAGTCTTGGGCTTACACATTCATACTCTTTCACACATTGGCCCATTCTTTCTGAAAGGATGATACCTACTCCCTGGCATGCCCGCTCGATCTCGTCTACACCAGACCAGTATGCGGTATACATGCCATGTGTAGTGACATCCTTTCCCTTCCTTTTCGTCTCATTTACACATAACACATCTATTCCTCTATCATTCATCATATCGCATACTTCATCCATTTTATCATTCATTGCCCCACATACATTCAACGTAGCCAGACGGACCTCTGCAATCCACTTTTCGCCTCTCCGGGAGACAGAACGTGACGGGTGGCGAACCTCGTCGCCGATATTTTCTATATTCTATAAGTTCTTAATAAAATTCTATAAGTTCTTCTATAAAAGATAACTTATAGAATATAAGAAGTTATTCTATAACTTCTTATATTCTATAAGTTATCTTTAATAATACGCAGCAGTGGAATACCTGGCCGGCATTTGTTTTTCCGAGTGCGTATAACCTGAACTTCTTAAAGGTGCGTGTGAGCAGACTTCTGGGAAATCTCGCTCCAACATTGACCTCATCTTTACCCTCGGCCTTCCGGCCAGATGGAGGTCAAGAGTGAGCCCATTTTTAATAAAAAACAATAGAATAGTTTAACAAATATGTATACCCCATTATAAGTACCTACCACATTATGGTAACTATTTACTATTTATAGCCATCCTTCTTGAAGAATATATTTCAAGAGCTGTGTTATCACATCTAACAACAAGTAGTAAAAATAAAAGTTATGTACAACCGACTTCAACATAAATAAAATGAGAATATCATCAATGTATTCGAAGGCAATTAAATACGCGTTATTCAAGAACTACTAGTCAGATCTTGATCAAATTTATATGGGGCCACATAAAAGCACCAGCTTTCAAACAAAAAAGAATTATCAATATCGGTTTACTTAGAAAAAAAAATCTGAGGTAACACACATAAAAAATACAGTCGAATTGAGATCCTGCTTCTTTTTTTGATGTCTGTGGAAAAAAGAATGCTGTGTCGCCAGTATTTGCGCAACCGGTTCTTGTATGTCTATCTCTTTTTCCAGGGACTTCGATCCGGCAGAGACAGTCAAAGAGAAAATGACAAAAATATTCGAAGTGAAAGGAGTGAAGGGCCTTCGGAAGTTGATGAAAGAAATCGCCATTACCGCTTCCACAGGGAAACATGACAACGAACTTATAGGAACTTCTAATATCCCACTAAAAGTTAGTGACCAAACATTCAATTTTTTTAACCTCCTTAAAGTCCATAGCTTTTCATATGCGTCTCCCGTTGTAAGAAGATTTAATATAATCACCACGCTTGGGAAATGGACTGGCGATCGCTCTTCCGGACTTCTAGCAATTTAAATGTTGCTTCGACTGTCAGTGTTATTTTAAGTCTGGCTAAACGAGATGGTAAAACTACCTTATATAGCGGTAAAAGAGGCCAACTAATATTTCCTCAATTTCCATAGTTCTACTCTTACGGCACTACTGGAACTAAATGACGCGAGAAAGTGTTTTTTCATATCTTATTCAATATTTATCTCCTTTCTCTTCTCTCATTGTTACTTTCATTGAATATTTCGTTTATTATTCAGATGACTCAATGTTCATCTTTACTTTGCTAATTTACGTTATTGCCTTGTTGGTCTAGCGGTTGTCGCGCGACTGTTGATCAAAGGGGTCCCGAGTTCGATCTTCGGATCGGCCAAAATCAGTTATTGGGGTGTTCTTTAAGAAATTCTCAGTAGCATTCTGGAGCAAACGTAAAGCTGTTGGTCTTGCACCTGATCTCTCTCCAGTCGTGTAGGATTGCCACTCCATCAGACTAAGAGTGAGGGAATAGAGAGTGCACTTGTGGTTGCGCATACACTTGGGCCCTATAATCCTGTCCTGAGCAGATGGCAGTCTATTTAGACTAGCCGTCGTAAATTTTGGCCTGGAGGGCATTATTTTGATTCATGTAGAATTAGTAGCTTACTTTTTAAAAACTGAATCAAATTGAAGTATGCTACATGCATTGATATAGTGATATTTCATTTCAAATTAAATTCCTTTTTACTGTATTTATTTAGTCAATCCCAGCCGGTGGCATGACAATGTGGTTCAACCTGAGTAAAAAGAGCAAGCTCCGACGCCAGGGTGTAGTAAAGTTGCGACTGAACTTCTCTTCCGAGAAGAACTCACAAGTCGCCGCGCAGGAACATCGACATCTGCTGAGGATACTGCTCCTGCATGAACTTGAAAGCTCTAAGGTAAGTTGACACATGATAAGTTCAAATCAAAAGGAAAAAATTCATTATATCAGAGATGATAAAAGAAATGACTAAAGTAATGAAAGTAACGGTCCGATCTACTAACTATCGACACACAATTTTTTCTGCCTCCAGGGTGGTGCCTAGGAATGAGGTGAAATTACTACTTTCTACTAGCGGACGAAGTTAATATGTTAGAAAAGTTTTTTTTATAGGATAGGGTGACAAACGAACACACGGTTCACCTGATGGTAAGTGGTTGCTGTGGCCCATAGGCATCTAGATTTATCCTCGATTACGAATCAAAATGCAGATACGTTGTCACCCGTGTGGACTAAGGTGGAATGTCTCGTATCCAGTAAAAAGGGTCTCCGGTTCTCTATACTAACCATACGTAACACAGCAGCATTAAGCTACTATTTTACGCTGGTATTCTGTGAGAAAGTGATCCTTCCCTGGTTGAGCCGACCCATTCATCATCATTACAGCCCTTCACAAGTCCACTGCTGAACATAGGACTCCCCTAAGTAATGCCACAAAGCACGGTCCTGAGCCACCTGCATCCATCGACTTCCTGCATGTCTTACCAGGTCGTCACTCCATCGAGTGGGGGTTCGCCCTACACTACGCCTACCGGTACGAGGCTGCCACTCGAGAACCTTTTTTCCCCAACGGTTGTCGGTTCTTCGAGCCATATGGCCATTCATGCTACAACCATAATATAGCCGCAGCGTGGCTCTACCACGCATAAAAATATTTTCTGACAGAGAGCACCTCACTCCCTTCTACAATTGTGTGCACTATCACTCCCATCACTAAACATAACCTCTCTACACCCAATACCATTTCCATGAGTTTCAAGTCTCACCTCTAAACGAGGCATCATCAGGTGTTATTCTCTCACACAAACTCTGTGCTCTGTTGTTATCACTTTTTTTTTAAAACAAGTGAGCTTAAAAAGAAGTAACACGTTGCCATACACAATATGTATTGGTAGATACATAGCTACGCAGGTAACAACAGTGCATTTTACACGTATTTTTAGGGACCTTTAAGAGCCTACATAGTTCTTTTTAAAAAGCCGTATGCTCGTTTGCTTCCTCTTTCATAAAAATAAAATATATTTTCCGAACATTACCATTTTTAAAACGAACATCGAACGAATAGAACTATTACGAAATTTCAACTGAGGATTTGGTGTTTTCAAGATTCGAGATCGATTCGCGACGAAATATCTCGTCCTATGTCGCTTCTTTATTGCTATTTGCTTTGTTATTATGTCAATGCATCTTGATATACGAAGTCATGTCATGTCATGGTGTAAGCATAGATTAATATAATACACAACAGAATGGCTGTTAACTTTATTTTGTACGAGGCTTGGCGTCGCCAAACCCTATTCGCTGTGTTGACAGACTGAATAAATTTACACATTTTAGACTTTTGATTAATGTTCAAGATCATCATTAAAAAAATCTTTTAAATTTTTATACATATTTATTTGTAAATAGGGTGCAATTGGGCATTTTTTAAATAATTTGCATGCGAAATTTGAAAACGATTGTAACGTCAAAGCACATCTCGTGTTGACATTTATACGTGTGAATTGACGTGTTAGTGACATTTTAGTGGCTACACGGGCTCCGCCCACTCCCTCGTTATATTATGTATGTATTATATTATTCTATGGTCGTAAGGGCTTAAATTCGTAGTTTGGTTTTTGTAACACACCAATGGTTAAACTAATTTCAGGTTGCACCATACTGGTGGTGCGGCAACTTCAGTGCGCCGGCAGAGGCAATCCTCACGCAACATGTGGCTCAAAGTGGCTTAAGCCAAACCGACAACTGGCTGGCGCAATGGGTGGTTTTCTGCGCTGTTACCGCCGACCATCCCCTCAGCTTCTCACTCTTTAACCAGCTGCTTGAGAAAATAACAAAGCCGCTGCAATCAGGTAATTAATATCTACAACAAATTACTTTCGTTACCGAAAATAGGAATTTGTAGAGTAGTTGACGGAGAGAGGTTAGTTTTGGTATTAGGTCCTATTGTAAGTGTTATTTTATACAAGGGCTGATTTTTTCATCATGAGATAATAGTTTTGCATTACATTTTTTCTTTTCTTTTTGAAAAAGAAAATACGTTACCGACGCACTACATACAATTGGGTTTTTGAATGAAAACCATTATCATTTTTTTATTGTATTTAAATAATTTATCACTATTCGTATTAATAATCGATGCAAGCTTTTTTTTCAAATTACTTATAATTAATTACGAATTAATTAAAATTTATAGACTCCAAAACGTGCCATAAGTGGCTGTCATATTTGTGACGTCATCATGTAAAAGCATTGTCAACAGCTCGGATCTATATACATAATATTGTTAAATTATTAAAAGTTAGTGCAAATTATTAATCAAATCCAGCTATGTGTGAAACCGGGTTTATCAAAGCTAATTCTGACAATATCCCCCGGCTGTAGACATTTTTATGGTGACAGATTTTTTGAGAAATGATATTCGGTACAATTAAGCTATTTAAAAAAAATAAGCGGAAGTTTAATTCTTTAGATTATATATTGTTGCCACTATGTTATATATTGATAACAACGTAAGTAAGAATTAAATATTAGTAAAGATCAATGAATAATTTTTTAGGGTACTCGTATCACGGGAAAGTTTGTTGATAAAGCCATAGGTTATGTTCAATTACGGAATAATCACGAGGAAATGTTTAATTTAGTTGGCTATAAATGTTTAATAAAAAAAAAAGAAAAATCATTTCTTACAATTATACAAAGCTATTATTAAATCATCAAAAATTCATTATTCAAACTTTTGATTTATCGTGATTTCTCAATTAGCTCTAAAATTTTGAGTTATATTAAAATTTTGTATTAGACGCAACTCTTTTCACATTAATCTGAAATGAGTGATAATATATAAACATATATAAGTATATTGTAATACTTACATCAAAATGATATGCACAACAAAACAGATTCGACGTGGTTTTAAGATTTAAACTTGCTGTTTGAAACCATTGATTTAATGAAACATTTTGTTGGGAGTTGTTTTTGTAGTACATATTACGAGTACATAATGGAATGAAACAAGCGCGATAACTCTTTAAATTAGATTTTTTTTAAATATATTACCTAAAAAAACACATGATAACAATAACAACTAACTAATTGAAAATGAATACACGCTTCAGCTGCCTGTAAAGTAAAAGCAAAACAAAAGTTGTGACGTCACATACGTGTCGGGCTTTCTCAGGAACTGTCGGCGCGTCATCGGTACTGAGTTCAAAAAATTATTTTCACTTTGTTATAACTTTTTAATTCAAACAAAAAAAATAGGTGGCTTTAATCCTTTTTTTTTTTTTTTTTTTTTTTTTTTTTTTTTTTTTTTTTTTTTTTTTTTTTTTTTTTTTTTTTTTTATTTAATTTTTTTTTTGTGGGGGGGGAGACGGAGTTTTTTTTTTTTTTTTTTTTTTTTTTTTTTTTTTTTTTTTTTTTTTTTGGTTTGTTTTTGTTGTTTGATTTTTAACAGTAATTTTGTTACAATACTTTTATATGACTTTCGATTTGTGAAAAGTTCAAAGTTCAAAAACTCAATTTTCTCCTATATCGTGAAGGCTGTTCACAAATATAAATTGCAGAAGGACAAACATCCAGACCCAGAACAATTATTTTTAAGCCACAAGTACAAATAATTGTTCCTTACATGAATCGAATCCTCGATCCTCAGTGCCGCAACACGTGTTAAGCCATTGTGTCATTATATCCTTATTGAATTTAAAAGTGAAACAATTGAACTGTCATTCATATAACTGTAATTTTAAATTGGATCATAATGTTGTATTCTATGATTATAAATCTGCCCTTAGCTCAACAAACGAGCACACAGTTTGGCACGTGAATGCCGTGGCCTATACCATCTAAATTTTTTCCCGTTTAGTTTAAAAAATTCAGGTGTGTAGTTACCCGTGACTGAGATAGTCTCGTTAACGGAATAGGTGCTCCCCGGTGCTCGTTACTTTACGTACGAAAAGCTTTCTGCTGCTTATATACGCTGGTATTCTGTGAGAGCATGGTTGTGTGTCGAGAGGTGAATTAAAACGCAAGTATAGTTCAAAGTAAAACTTTTTACTCCATTTAGGCTCGTGTAGAAAACTATTATGAACGTCGTTAATATACACCAGTTCGCAAAAACGAGACCTTCCCAGAGAAAAACCGGCAAGCAACTCTGGGAGCTTAAAACCGTGTTTCAATTTAATGCCTTTATAGTTTAAACCTTTAGTACACTATAAAGTTAGAGTCATGCGTCCAGCCCATGAATACTATAATTACATACATAATAGAACGGGGGAGTGGGCGGAGACCGTGTAACCACTAAAATGTCACTAACACGTCAATTCACACGTATAAATGTCAACACGAGATGTATTTTGACGTTACAATCGTTTCCAAATTTCGCATGCATGCAAAATGCAATGCAAATATTTAGAAAATGCCAAATTGCACGCTATTTACAAATAAATACGTATTAAAATCTGTCTGTCAACACAGCGAATCGGGTTGGTAGTTGTGATAATACTACGTAATTGCTTGTATGTGTGCTCCCGGCGACGCCTATCGTCGTACAAAATATTGTTGACAGCCATTCTATTGTGTATTATGTATTCTATGGTCCAGCCCCTAAGCTATCACAGCTCTAGAAATAAAACACTTTTCCTTAAATCTTACAGGATTAGTCAATGAAGAGGAAGTTAAACTATTCTGGGACGGCGCGAAAAAACTGCTCCCAACTTGTTACAGTCATATAAGGAAACTGAGGAAAAAGACCGCCGGTGACAAAACCGTCATGAAAACGCTTAGAGAGGTCCTAAAGATATTGTACCGCCTATCTGTTCTCGATGTCCCAGAATATGTAGACCTGTTTCCAGTTAATTTGTACGGCTGGTTAAGGGAAAACAGTGACGGCAGTAGGTTAACCATACAAGAGGTTTTGAATCAGGCCGCAGTGCAAGGAGCTGCGGATTGGTTTGTTCATATACTGGATAATAACGAATGTAAGGACCGAACTGAAGATTCGAGGTTGCAGCATTTGATCAGGGTGATACAACTCGTGCGCTCGGACTTGCAGCGGGCTGTGGAGTACTTTGACAGAGTTTTTGTTGAGTAAGTTGTATTTTTATTGTGTAAATGTAGTTTTTTTTTTAAATGAAAAACTACGTAGGCTGCGCATTTTTCAATTTTACTCTTATATTAGTATTTTTATAAGGCATAAAAGTGTAACATATTCCTCCTATCATATTAATTAACATTTATTTATTTTTAAATTTACTTAATATTGTAATGGCAGGATAATAAAATAGTAGAAATAAAACAACACAATAATGTTGATAAATACTAAATACTATTGTAAAAAAACTTAACAACTTGAAAAATGCTTTCTTTATAATGCTTTCTTATTTAGTCCAAAGAAATAAATTAAATGTAGTTAATATTATAATTTACGATATACCTATCATAGAAATAATAATAAAACAAATAACTATTTTTCAGAATAATGAGCTTCCCATATTCCAAAGTGTTATACGGTGTTTATGAAAATAAAATAGCTTCACTGGTCGAACCAGAGGTGATACAAGTGTGTAAAAACTTAAAACGACTGCAGTACAATGAAGGCTCTACAAACAGTGTTTACTTGGCCGGTGGACTCAATGGGGAAACTGGGCTTGGAACTCCACAGGTGGACCATGAGCCTCTAGCTATGGGGACGACGCTCTTCGAATTGTACTTAGCGTTACAAAGGTTTTTAGCGTAAGTAATGCCTTTTTATATTAATGTTGTTCCTAGTAGTTACGTCTAAAGTTAGACTAATAACTATGAAGGAAGTTTGATTATCTCCCTTACATGTAGTTTATACAGGTGTTATAAATTTGTAAATCTTTTTAGCTGTCGTATTTTCAAATGATTTATTTCTAACGCATTTATCTAGTACCACGCATACATTATCATATTATTCATTAGTAAAACGCATTCAAACGTGTGGATTAATTTGCCAGCATTCGTCTTTAACGTAAAAGTGAATAGGCTTTAGTTAAGATAGGTCAGCATTGAAACAACCATCTTCGGTTGCTTCACTGCTTACCATCAGATGACCGAACGGAAAGGACATATATTATTTTTTGCGGGGGTCAATCTGCGCACACAAACACAATCGTCTGGCATTACGAAACTCACATATAACAGTTAAAACAATAAACTAATAATTTCACACACACATGGATAGATTATAACAGTATCGCTTGGTGAGAGCGATAACTCGTATCAGTCGCTCGACTGATCCGCATATTGTAGAAGAGCGAGCGATTTGTGTTGGTAAGCAGATCTGAAACAACACGTCCGTTATTATTGTAATATTTAACTATAAAAATTAGTAAATAGCAATAATGTAATTAAAATTGAGAAGTTGCATTTTTTTGCCACAGGTTATAATATATAAATGAAAGAATAATTCAAAAGTATATTTAATTTTTTTTAATTGCAATTCCATTTTTTTTTTGGTAAATTAATAATTATAAATAAAAAATGGTTAAATTTTTGAACGAAAAAAAAAACCACTTGTGATCGGTTGTTACGTCATTATATCCGTTGAGAGTGTGAGTCAATCGCAATCATGCAATATTTTTGTATTTTCTATACATATTCGGATCACCATTTGTCAGAACAAAACATATAATATAACTTGTCTTATGCAGTAACAATTTTGTTTTTAAATTTGATAACGCAAACATGAGTATTTCATTATTTCACCATGCGGCAGTGTTACTAAGGCGATATAATAACGTTACTGGCGTTTGAATTTACATTTTAGAAAAACCATTTTTAATTGTAAAATAACATGAAAAATCAATTGTTATTTTTTTTCTTAATATTATTTAGTAAACTGAAAAAAAACACACTTCTCTATCATTTATACGGTGACATCATATTTTTGTAAACTTTACGTGGCAGTTCTGTTTTTGCTGCAAAAAGCGGACCAATTTGGCATTTTTGCAGGACGTGAATTTAGTCACGCAACTAGATCTGCTGCATTTATATTATGGCTGTAGCATGAATGGGTCGGCTCAACCGGGGAAGGACCACGCTCTCACAGAATACTAGCGTAAAATAGCAGCTTAGTGCTGCTATGTTTCATATGGTGAGTGTAGAGAACCGGAGACCCATTTAACTGGAATCGAGGCATTCCATCTTAGTCCTCAGGGCTGACAAAGCATCTGCATTTTTATTCTTAATCGAGTTTCAATGTAGATGTCTATGGGCCGCAGCATCCACTTATCATCAGGTGGACTGTGTGTTCGTTTGTCAGCCTTATTCTATAAAAAAAGAACCGCGTGGACTTATACTTTGACAGAGCGTAACTTCAGCATATGGTTGCTCTCTTACGATCCGCCGGTGGTCCTGTTGCTCAATGAGTGGGACAGTAGTTAAACACTGGCTTCTAGTAGTTAATAAAGCGATTGTAGTAACAGACGTCTTAAAACTTTGTCCCGTTCCGATCTATGTATTTTTCGTCTGGCGTAAACTAGAGGGTTAAACCAGCATCGATTGGAAGCTATGAGATCGTTCTGCCTGTATAGTTTTCTCTTACGTCACACCCCGGACACTCCATACAATGTTCGCAAATTAATTACCTATTACTATTACAAGGGTAAATGACGTTTGTATACGTGCAAATGTGTGCGTGAGTGCGTAGAGAAGTGCGGCGGCCGACGTTGAAGTGGCGAATTTTAACAGTGTGGAGATTCCCTTAGTGATATATTATCGTAGGTGTATAACACAAAATGATCGCATCATAACGGAAATATTAATTGTAAGTAGTTACCTATTTATGGTGGAACAATGAAGTTCTATACTTAAGGTGGCTCAAGTCGCGGGCTCGAAATCATTGGTGGGCGCGGCCAAAAAGCATGTTGTCTCACCTGGCATCGTGCCCGACAGAGATAGTACCAGTAAAGAGCAGTTAGAACGCACGTCTTGTTCGTACGGCGTTCCGAACCGTTAGAACAAAAACGAAGTTACACGAACACGATGCACACATACATACCACCCTATTCTGTGCCGCTCGACGCTTGCTATGAAATCAGCAGTACCTACCTACAAACTCGTATTAAATTATTAGGCACTGCGCTACGTTATCGCTTTATACTATACCTCTATGGCTCTATAGATACCTAATATAGATTGCTTATTTTATTATGTTTTGTTTTCCCCGGGTGGTCATGTAGCGATCACTCAAGAGTTCACGACGCCGAAGCATGAACTGGAACAGTCATCGCAATTTATATCCGTACTAGCTGTTGCCAGCGGCTTCAAACGCGTGAACTCGAAAATTATCCCACAGGAACGAAATACCTGAATAAACGGTATCAAAAAATGTGTTATTCCAGACCAGGTATAACCTATCTCTGAGCTAAATATCATCCAGATCCCTTCAGCTGTTCTGGCGTGATTGAGTAACATACATCTATCCATCCAAACTTTCGCATTTATAATATTTAGATAATAATTGTAATTAGTTCTGCCTACCTATAAATTGTTTTCAAAAATACTTACCTGTCTTCTTACTTTTTTTATATACACACAATATCACTAGATGTAAACACATGTTTTTATCAAGACAAGTGACCCGTCAAGACTGTTTCCTTAGTACCGACGTACTTAGGCAGGTATTAGTAGGTAGGCAAAAACGATTACTACTGAAAAACTAAATAGGTACCTACCTAACATTCAAATAAAAATATTCTCAAAAAGCTCAACCAATTCAGAATTTAATTTTGTTAAAAGAAAATTGGTCAAATAAAAAATAAAGGATGAAAATAAAGCATATGGGAATATAAAAATAAATCGTATTTATTTGAATAAAACTATTATTTACGGATTTTATCGCGTTTAATTACTTTAATTTATTTTTATTATTATACCGACGTTTCGGGTGCTTTACAGCGCCCAGGTGGTCGGGGGGACCATGGGCGCTGTAAAGCACCCGAAACGTCGGGATAATAATAAAAATAAATTAAAGTAATTAAACGCGATAAAATCCGTAAATAATAGTTTTATTCAATGTGTAGTGTTCGCGTAAATTTAAGAAATCGTATTTATTTGTTAATTCGAGTTTTACAAGAAAAGCATAATATTTACTGGAGAGAATTATTTTATTATTATAATAGTACATGATATTCCCTTTAAAATGACACCAATATGAATAATATCTTATATCTATATCTACAAATAAATAAAATTTTAGTGTCTGTTTGTAATGTTAAAATAACAGCTTTTTATTAAATGCATATGAAAGTACTAGTAACAAAAACACATTTTTTAAAATTTCAAACACCACAATCTCTAATTTTTTACTCTGCTATCTTCAGCGCTGTACACGAACGGAACGATGTCGTTGAGAGCCGTGGTAGCTCACATAGTTAGCGCTCGTTATAGGTATCACAGTACGGGAGCAACCCGGGTTCGATTCCCACTGGCACCAATGAAATTGATGCGTGCTGATTTAGCTATCAGTTGGAAAGTCTGTTTTTCTGGGCCGTTTTGTTTTGTTACACTGACATCTCGCAAGTCACCTAGGGACCTAGGAGGTTGTCGGTTGCTTATTTTTTATTTTTCTTTAAAATTTTCGTCGGTAAAATAACATATTTATAAAAGTAAAAAAAAGTAAAGTTACAGCCTATATACGTTCCACTGCTGGGCACAGGCCTCCTCTAATTTCTGAGAGGGTTTTAAGGCAAGGAAATGTCCGCCACGCTGCCTCAATGCGTGTTGACGAACTTCACATTTCTTCGAAATTTATATTTTTTAATTTCTCAGACAGTCAGACCCGAGTTCGATCCCCGCCGGTATCAATGAAATTGTTAATTGCAATTGTGCTGATTTACCACGTGCTCGGCGGTGAAGGAAAACATATTGAGGAAACCTGCACGTCTGAGAATATAATTATAATCGAATGTAAATCAAATTGACATAGGTAAGTACAGATAAAATTAGCGGAACATTAATAAAATTTTGAGATCGTTTTTTTTTTCAAAATTTTATTTATATATTCCTCTATTTTTGTCTGTGCTTATATCAATTTGATTTAATCCAAAGTTCAAGCAGGGGTCAATGTAGCGTAGTAATTTAGAGCGCAGGTATAGCTATAATCATACGAACGTCACAGGCCGCAGCTGACAATGACGTCGAATAAAACTAGAATAAGCGCGCGTCACCACGCATGCATGTGTGTGTAAGTGTCGTCCTCCCGCACCGCACCGAGGGAAAAATTATTCAGTGAGATGCACGATAATTCATATAAACACGCGCGCGTAAAAAAAATACGAAAAGGCCTTTGGAGTTTTATGAAAAACCCACTGCATGAATCAATTACCAATAAAATTTATTGAATTCTTCGATAATTGAGCTGTGTCGGTACCGACTTTGTTTTGGAAATTTTACACTGCTTTTATTACTAATTTACGCCCAAAGTTGTGTTAAAATTGGCAATAAAAACGAATTTTTGGTAGCTCGTAACTTTTTACTGACTTTTTATTTTACTATTCTGTTTCGGTACAGACAAAATTAATAATGAGACAAAACGATATCATGTTTAACTTTGGATGTACACTGTCAAACAGCGGAGTAAAACCCCTCCGAAATTTCTATGGAAATAATGTCGACTAGAGAGAGTCACCTTAATGATATCGTAGATGAGTAGTAATAGTAATAAAACTATGAATAAAAATAAATAATCTACACAAAATGATAGTATACTAACACTGACTTAACGTGTGTACTTTATAATGTAAAAGTAGGTAAAGAGTTGCTCTTACTTACCTTATTTCTTCTTTTGGGAACCGAATGCAACATACAGTACATACAACCATTGTAATCAAAACACAATTGTAGGTACCTACCTTTTAAATTGTAAAATCGTGTGTTCCTCCGATTACGCATGCACCCTCGTTTAAGAGCCCTTTTACATTTCACCGTTACGCAAATTTAGGTATTTTACGCACCGAGCGGGCGGTGAACTATGCGAGCGATACTTTCTTTCGTGTCTATTCCCTCGCTCGTACTATGGGTACTCTGATTATAGCGACTAAACGATCTTGATCTTCCATAATACAATTAGGATGGAGTTCAGTGTATGGAAAATTTTTGTTGTGTCATTTTTATGTTATCTAATTAATTGATTAGAATCCATTTTGTTATATTTATCATTATTTATGCTCATTAGTGTTGAAATAAGAACACATAAATATTTTAATTGTTACACAGTAAGCGATAGTTAACCGATGTTGGTTAATAATAAATAGTTGGTTGAATCGATAAATGAATAGTACGGTTGCAAACCTGTTTTAATAAATAAAATAACCAACTGTAACTATTTTTTTTAATCGATACTTACAGTCAATTACCATATTTTTTATTATAAAAATATTTGCCGCAACAACATTAACCGAGCTGATCTCGAGTCAATAATTTCAGACAGTACACATTTTTTTAAAACGCTTGTAACTTGGGTAACATATTCAAAATTCATAATTTGACGTATTTTTAGATTTTTAGTATTTTACTGCATAATCTGGGCAAGCCCACATGGCAAGCATGCAGACATTTTTATTCTCCATTATTATTTCTCCAGAGATAGGACATTTTTTTTTTACGTTTAGTGACACGTTAATACTTGTATTATTTTTCCCCATTTTGGCTGGTGTAAGAAGGCTTATCTACAATCGAAATAACCATAATGAGTTAACTATCTGGTATTTTTTTTTGAAGAGGGGGCAAACGAGCATGTGGCTCACCTGATGTTAAGTGACTACCGCCGCCCATGATCAACCGCAACACCAGGGGAATTGCAGGTGCGTTGCCGGCCCTTTAGAAAGGAGTAAGCTCTTTTCTTGAAGGTCCCCAGGTCGTTTCGGTCCGGAAAAATCACCGGTGGTAAATTATTCCACAGAGAGGTTGTACGCGGAAGAAAACTCCTTTTGAAACGTACAGTGGTGGACCGCCAAGCATCCAGATGGTGTGGGTGGTATCGGGACGTTTGCCGTGTAGTGCGTTCACGAAATTTGGCGGCTGGGATTAATCCGAACAATTCCTCAGAGCACTCCCCGTGATAGATGCGATAAAATACGCAAAGAGATGCAACATCTCTTCGCAGCGCCAGTGAATCGAGCCGATCGGAAAGCACTCGGTCGTCGACGATTCGAGCTGCTCTGCGCTGGATGCGGTCAAGTGGAAGGAGCTGGTACTGGGGAGCCCCAGCCCAGAGATGGGAACAGTATTCCATGAGCGGCCGAACCTGCGCCTTGTAAAGTTGCAGGCGGTGTGCCGGCATGAAATACTGTCCCGCTCTGCTGAGCACGCCAAGCTTTTTAGAGGCCAATTTGGCCTACCCTTCCAAGTGACCACGAAACTGCACGTCACTCGATATGTCGACGCCGAGGATTCCGATACTGGCTGAGGCAACAAGGGGAGTGCCTTGAAACTGAGGGGATACGACAAAGGGGTTCTTTTTAGCGGTTAACGCGCAAACTTGTGTCTTCTGGGGGTTAAATTGGACTAGATTTAGTTGCCCCCAATCCGAGACTCTGTCCAGCAGAGACTCGACTTCAGACACAAGTTTGTCCCGGCACTCAGAGACGTTTTCCCGAGAAATATTGGCTCGGCCGGTGTAAAGAGCATCACCAGTGCTGTCATCTGCATAGCAATGAATGCTACGGGTTTGCAACATATCATTGATATGCAGAAGAAATAGCGTTGGCGATAACACGCAGCCCTGTGGAACACCAGCATTAATAAGCTTGCAATCGGAGCTTGCACCGTCTACAACGACCTTGATGCTCCGATCTGCAAGAAAACTGGTGATCCAATCGCATAATTTCTCGGGAAGCCCATAGGAAGGGAGCTTCGAAAGAAGCGCTTTGTGCCAAACCCGATCGAAGGCCTTCGCAATGTCCAAACTAACGGCCAATGCCTCCCCCTTGGACTCTACTGTCTCCGCCCATCTGTGAGTTAGGTAGACCAGAAGATCACCAGCTGACCGACCACGGCGAAAACCGTATTGGCGGTCACTAATCAGCTGGTGATCCTCAAGGTACCTCATGAGCTGGCAGTTTACAATAGACTCCATTGTTTTGGAAAACAAGGAGGTGATGGCGATAGGCCGGTAGTTGGAAGGGTCTGAGCGGTCGCCTTTTTTAGGGATCGGGTGGACGAAAGCCGTCTTCCATGATTTTGGGACTACGCCTAGGGAGTAGGAGTACCGGAAAAGACGCGTTAAAACCGGTGCCAACTCTGGAGCACACGTCCTCAGCACAATTGGGGGGATTCCGTCAGGCCAATTCGTATAATAATAACGTACGAACTTTATACTAATGATTTCTTATATTTATGCGAACACTAGACATTGATTTAAACTATTTTTTGACGTTTCGGGTGCTTTCCAGCACCCATGGTCATGGAGGACTGAGGTAACTCACGTCCCGATGTCAATGTTAACCCGGAGTACCTTCAGCTTTTTTAATTAGAAATCACACGCGATAAAATTCGTAAAAGTAGTTTTAATCAATGAAAACTTTATACTAATTGAAATATATTGTACGAAAGTAAATACTTCCAACGATCAAAAACAGCGGTCGTAGTTGAGTTCTATTTCGGAACTCAGGCCAAAATAGCAGCACCTATAAAGGCAATCGATGCACACTACGATAATATCGAAACGATACGGAGCGCGCGAAATCAAGTCACACGGGTCCAAACTCGATAACCGCTCGCGCGGTACTGAATTCAGATGGCCAGCGCAGGGAAATATATGGTAGTTTTAATTAATTACTTAAAAAATAACAGTAACGATTAAAAAGTAAAAATCATAGTATAGTTTAAGCAAATGTTGATGATTATTTTGGTATAAATTTTACTTCAAAACGATGTAGAACTTCGGAGATATTGGGGCTTGTATCGAAGCTTTTTCGGCCGTTAATTGAATTATGTAATTTGAAGCAAATTTTATCCACTTATCCAATGTTATTTTTCATTCCAGTTTAGGACAAGGCTTAAACGAAACCGAGTGGAGTACTTATGCAATTTCTAAATTTCATTCGTGGTTTTATGGCGGAGTCGCTCAATGGCTGGATATAGCTGCGTACAAGGCGCTCACACGTATAGAAAAGGCGGTGGATTTAGATAACCTAGTACCTGTGGACAATAATGTTAAATACAGCAGTTCAGGAGTAGACACGCTTGCCATATTTTATCAGATCAAGATATTCTGGCAGCAACTAGCCTGGCCTGATGTAGAGGGATGCTATACGTTTGTTGCTAAGATAGTTGATGTAAGTTATTACCATTATATCTGTTTTAAATTATATAATATCAACTTCTTTTAATTTTATGTAAATCTAATTTAAAAAATCTAATAACGTAAAAATAAATATCCTATTGTTGGGCACAAGCCTTCTCATATACGATATTAGATATGGAAGGGCAAAGGGTCCGCTATGCTACTGCGCTGTTTAACGAACTTTAAACATCTGAGGCGGCTTTTTCGACCGTGGCTTAGCGTTAACTTGCAGCGCTAAGAGCCACAGGTTCGAATCCTGCAGGGAATAAGTATTTGTATGTCCAACAAATGATTTTTCCTTGTGTGAATGTTTGTGCCTGTGCGATTTACGTATGTAAACTTACGCTAAACGCTTTAAAAAAATATTAAGCTTCTCAGGCATGGCAGTTTCCTTATAAAGTTTTGTTTTCATCGTTCAGCACGTTAAAATAGCGTATAGCAATAAACAATTTCCAATAAAATCATGTGAATAAGTGTTATATCGAGAACTATAAAATTTAAGACGGACACCATATCTACTATTATGTAACACAAACATTAATCAGATCATACGTAAATTAAAAAAATATCTGTGAGTTTTATTATTATAGTTGTATATATATATATATTAATCGCGTTTTATTAAAAAAAAATATTTCACGCCAACAGGACATTTGCCGGTGCTGTGTGTTCTATTCAGACAAAATGGCGGGTCGGGTTGACAACGTGGGAACGATTAGCACGGTATATGAGGAACGCTTCGAAGTGACGAACGAGTGGTGCGTCGCCATCAATAATATTGACTACGTACGTCAGAGTCTACAGCCGTTCGTACGAGAGCTGGGCATGGACGAGATTGTACAGAACATGTGTGAGGCCAGGTCACCACTCGAAGCACAGAGGTAAATTAGGTCAAAAACTCCATCATTAGTTACTCTTTGGTAACAACAATTTAGTTCCTTGGTTGTCTAGAAGACGCCTTATTATTCCTTCTTTATGTTTTGTTCTTTTTAATGTCAATAACTCTTCATTGTACACCAAGGAAAGAATATAGAGGACGGTGTAAGAATATCTACTACCCCATATACCTATACCCTCATGTACATATATCTATATCTCTGTTCCCTGGGTATCGTTAGAGGAGACAGGGTATAACCACAGCTTAAGGACTTTACAGTTGGGAAATGAATGTATATGCGCAGAGCAACGGGGCCTTGCGAGGTAGTGGGCGGTGAGACCGTGTGCCAGCCATTGATTTATATATCACTAGATCAGTAATAACCGCGCCAAAGCGTTACCACTGCACATATGGCCACAGCCATATGCCTAGCTAACGTCAGTTCAGTGTTCAATGTGACGCCAACAGAGTTGATCCGCGACAAAAAATTGGTAAATGCGTAGTGAAAGGATGCTATTCAAGGTCACAAAAACGTAATAAATCAAGCGGAATCACTTTCAACACATAATTTTTAGATCTTGTTTTCATATAAACGTAAAAAACCTCAAATAATTAATTAAAATTATCGAACATTGCCATTTAGGTTCAATGTTGCCACTTTTCCGCATTTGTGATTATACTACATTAATGGGAGACTATATAATTAATGGAGTAAGTTAAATTGTTATCTCTGATTTTAAATATTTTGGAAATTATAATAAAAACTACGTTTTAACTTTCATACAAAATAATTAATTATTCTTATTTTAGTTTATTCATGAATTATCTATTAAATATATTTTATTACCTACTTATTTCATATTAATAATTTTATATTAATTATAATTTCGTATAAATTTTATATTAATTATATTTTATTACCTAGTTTATATTGTTAGTACAAAAAAAACTACTTTTAAAAATATGTTTTATTTCATCATTATGTTTACTTCTATTCATCTATCAGATGAATAGAAGTACACATAATGATGAAATTGATTGAATTGAAGCTTTTTATCTTTTTTTTCTAAGGAGACGCAATAAAGATTTTAAAATAAAATATACTTTTTTTAATATAAAAACAATTAACTGCAGCTTAAAAAAAAACTCACTTTTATTGCGAATTTTAGGTAAAATTTCGTATAGTAAGCCACACCAACCCGCCATTGCATGTTTGTGTGTCTATCTTTATCTAATCTCGCGAACGAAAATAGCGACGATATTGTTTTCGCAACTTGTGTAAGTGAGATAGATATATGTTTATTTAAAATTGATATTAGTTTCAAAGCTACGTCGTCGCGTTTGGATAGTGGTTACACATTTTTCGACGCGCGGTAATGTGGTTTGCTCCTCTAGTGTTGTTTAACTCAATGGTGCCAGCGAACTCCACTAAGCCTGCGCTACAATACAATTGGTTGACGCGACCCTTTTATAGTTCTTATTTAATTAATTTTTAAGAGCCGTTTTAGAGAAATATAAACTCTATAATGGTGAATTACTGTTATAGTTATATGAGTTACTAACAGTGGTGAAGCTTCCATAAAAGCCGAAAAGCCGGGCTTGCCTTATTAAAACTGAATCAATCAATAATATCAACTAATAAAATAACTCATAAACTGTTTCAAATTATTTCAATTTTCCCGCGCACTCCACTGTTCGACACATGTCGACCGATGACCTCGTATTGCCTTAGCGATACGTTTATACAAAGGTACTCTGTGGCGATACTGCTGCTGTCATAAAGTGAGTTTTAATAGAGCGATTAGTTGTCTCCCTCGCTCGCGTGGGCTTTTTACGGGGCTTTCGAGAAGACGATCGCTCTCTTTCTAACCTATGGCAAAATATTCTATAATGAAATATAACTACGAAATGTTTATATAGCAATTACTATTGAGCCAACAAGCCTGGCTTTGCCATGAAGTTGTTGAGGAGTGCGTTAGCGACTAGCGAAGTGGTTGCGGGCCCCTCGTATGCAAGTTCACTTCACATTTCAATGTTTATGTTTGTTTTTGTTGTGTTTGTTAAAAATTTATGCTTTTTCGAAGATTTTCAGTGAAAATGGGAGGATAATAGTGTTCATTGTGATGAATATAAGTGTGTTGAAGTGCTAATCAGCGAGGAAAAGTAAAAATCTTTAAAAATGAAATTTAATATTCAATAAACATTTCTTCATACTTCAAATATAGGTGCAGGACTCTTTAGTATTAAAGTTTAATTAAGTTAGGCGTATTTAAAGGTTTAATAACTCAATATTTATATTACCATACGAATTAAAAATATCAATTTGAACAGCAGCATGAAGTATGAGACCTAGGTTTAATTTAAGAGGAAATAAGTGTTACAATAATTTTTTTAACGTGAAGCCCAAATTTTAATTAAATAAATGAAAAGAATACAGAAGAATGTACTGAGGTTTTTTAAGAATAGTACTCGATTTCGCCATTTAGGTTTTGTCTACTTTTCAGTATATAAAATTTTAATGGCGCCATCTACTTAATTCTATAGGTAAAGTCATTTTATCGAACGAAAATTGGTTGATTCTCACGATGGTACCTAAAGATTACGGTAGATGGCACAAATACGCTATCGGCTAATTTATAGTGATATATGAGTTTAAAAATATCATTTTGTACGGTTTATTATGAATTGAAAATGAATAATTATAATTATAATAGTCATTATTTTATGGTAAAAAATTTGCGAAGCTTTATCTTCTCATTATAACTGTGTAATTCCTGTCGTAATCTGTTCTTTTATGCATAACTTAAACAAAATATAATTTCGAGGTTTCACATCTGCCAGGCATTCCTTTTTTAACTTTGTACATGGTTTGTTTGTACTTTGTTCATGCTTTTCTTTTGTTCATGTATTGTTTGTAAATATCTCAAGCAAACCCAAACGGCTCTTTTCAAAACCACCGAAGGTGTCCAATTGCATATTATGTCATACAATCTATCTAGCGGTAGTATGCTTTCTGTGTGCTTTGTTAAACACGTCCTTGTCAGCACTGTATATGAAACTAAAGAGTGGAGACAGCTTAAGATTGCTGTATATTTATTAAACTGCTAAAAACAACAAAACCATATCTTGGGCTTGCCCTAGTTTGGAGCCCTAGCTTCGCCACTGGTTACTAAGTAAAATAGAATTCAAATGACGGCCGTGCTTATGATTCTCTCTTTTTTTTGATAAAATTATTCATCCGAATGCGAGTACACTACATAATTAAATGTAACAATCGAAAACTGAAAACATCTATAAAAAGAAAGTTTCATGAAAATATTTGGCAGTACATTTATACATGTGTTTTTATTGTATTAGTGAAAATGATCTTGTTCAATAAATGTTATAAACTTATAAGTATGTACATAATGTTAATAAATGATAATGAGTATTATAATATCCAAAATTAATTATTTCCATTTTCGTGACAACACACTGCCGCGTAAATCCTACGCGCTGCCCGCATAGCCTGATATCAAAGTTTCACAACTGTAGTCTTTAAACTGTGATATAACTGAAACATATGGGAGGCAGCATCTTGCTGATAACCAAATAGAGCAATCTAAGGGGCAGGCCTAAGTTCAGCATGTGTAACGGTAACGGTGAGTTATCTAAAAATGTATGATATTATAATATTTTAAAATATAAACATGTTTGTTTCAGATGTAAGGAAACTCTCCAAAACGTCATGGCAAATGCAATAGACACAGTAAAAAACAAAATCCTAGATTTATTAGAAATTATGGTGAAAAAGGTAAATGAATAATTTTTTTTTAATTTTTGTTGCTTCTCACACATCGGCTCCCACATTGTCGCCGTGAACCTCCGTGAACAGGAGTGAACGTGATTGTGAATGGTTTTCGCGGGATTCACCTGTTCCCCGATCAGAGTCGGTATTTTGTCCCGCGACAAAGGGTTCACGCAACCTTCGCGCAGCGTTCACGCGTACACATCCACATTCACGGCACCATGCCAGTTCGTTTTGGACTACAATGGCGTACGGACGTTTAATCTTCTTTTTTTTTCTCAATGCTTTCTAATAAATTTCTTGTTTTGGACGTCTAAATAGTGATACGAGTATGTTGCCACAGCAATTTTTTTTATAGGACAGAGTAACATACTAGCACACAGTCCACCTGATGGTAAGTTGTTGCTGCGGCCGTAGATATCTACATCTATCCTCAATCACAAATCAGTAGTACTAAAATGAAATGCCTCGTTTCCAGTAAAAAGGGTCTGAGGTTCTCTACACTCACCGTACGAAATAGCAGTAGTAGCTTTAAGCTACTATCTTTACGCTGGTATTCTGTGAGAGCGTGGTCCTTCCCCGGTCGAGCCGACCCATTCGTGCTACAACTATACTACTAATATAACTGCAGCATGGCTCTACCACGTATAAAATATATAATAAATAAATAAAGTTATTACAGCAGCAGCTTCTACGTCCGTTTCGCGGCGGGTTTCACAAACGATTGTTAGCATCCCGTGAATTTGGAGGGCACGACTTGTGCCGTGAATTCACAGCGTCAATTCACGGCGATAATGTGGAGCCGCCGTCATGTGTCCTTATGTTGTGCTTGTGCTATGCTCAGGGGTTGCTTGTTCGTTTTTAATTTTACATTACACGAGCAATTTAATTTCGATTACTATCGGTTCCACAAAAGTGATAATTTAAATTTCAAGAACGTCGAAATTAAGTCGGTGCTACAGTCCCTTCAGCGGTACTAAGTCGACTGTCGGTATGATGGCTATCCCAGTACGAAACCAGTGTATGAAACCTATTAAACTATAGAGAGGTGTAAGACAGAGTGATTTTTATCCCTTAATTACTTCAGCGCTGCTTTAGAAGCTGTTTTTAAACTACACTGAAAAGGATACAATACTGGAAAGGTGTCACCATCAATGGTGAGTAATCACTCTACTTCGATTTGCCAACGATATAGTCATTATGGCAGACTTACTGGGGGACCTCAGCACTCAGCTCAATAATCGATGAGTAAGCGGAAGTGTCAACGGGCTGGCCATACGAGCTTAGCTCGTATAGCTTAAAAAACCGACAATCGTTTGATAAGAAATGTTTTTGAGTAGCACCCGCGTACCTGTAAGCGAAGAGTAAGGCGGTTTTCAAGTCATCATTGGACTTGTGAAGATGAAAATCAATATAGTTTTGCATAAATTTGGGCTCCAGTTAGCGCTTAAACTCGGGACTTGTGGCACAGTAGCTGCGTTCTCTGACCGCTTACAGACTCTTGTCGGTTGTCGAAATTACAGTTAATATTAATTATTTTTTAAAAATTGCAGATGATGCCCTCTATCACTCGTTTCTTGATAGAAGGAGCTGAGTTACTACATCAAGATTGTTCCAGCATGGATCGAGTGATGCGTTACTTAGAAGCCAATCTTGACACTCTGTACCAGCATTTAAACAACGAGAATTTTTCTAGAACTTTGGATATAGTCTGGGAACAATTAGGAGAAGTGTTATATGAATTGATACAGGCAAATCTTGAGGTATGAGGGCTTGTCATTACGTTTTGCTATACCTTTTAATTTTTTTTTTAATATTAACAACTATCAAACTTATAACTTGTACCATTATCTTTCAATCACAAACTGTAACACTAACTTGTTAATAACGTCATTAGATCCAGTAAAATAAAAAGGCTATCAAATAAAACGTGATGTAAAGCCGTAGAATTTATTAGGTCACATGATTGTGTGACAAATCGGTCATAAAATACTTCGTACAGTATTATTTTGTTGTAAAAATAGGTCAATGTGTATTTTATTTGGTTTCACTTTCCTTTTTGTTTTTCTTTACCTGACATGAAATGGCAGATCATAATAAATTGTTCGCTGCGATCATGTTTTACATTTTTAGTAATTTATTTGTACAATTGTTAAGTATTATTTACGTATTAGCTTTTACTTTCACTGGATCGAAATTTCGTACTAACATTGAACTAACAAAATGACAATTTTCAATTTTATAGAAACAGAAATTAGACATTGCAACCCGTATCCGCTTAATTAGGCGTAGATATATTGACAGAAACAAAATATGCCCCTACGTTGTATTATTTCGGGTAAATAACGTTGCATTTATAATGCACGCTGACAGAATAGACTAGAAACACGCACAACATTACATTAATTTACATTGCTGGTTTTATTTCAATGCTTGTTTTATTGATTGTTGATTTGTTATTGTTTCAATAGCACCGAAGGGCAAAGATAACTCGCTATATCGACCCGAGACGCTTGAACAAGTCGGCCGCCGCCCAATTGGACGCGGTAATCATTCATTATAGACAGCACCTTGTATATGTTCTATATCAATGTTATGTTGCCCATGCGTTGTTATGTTACGGGCCCTGTGGCAGTTTGATTCTCGAACTTTTTATAGTAATATTTTGCAACACGATTGGCTGAATGAGATCGAAAATTATTACACTTTTGGCGTTAAGATTTGTGTAGGTAATACAATGTAAATAATGGCTTGACTTGAGTATGACATTAGCTCATTAATTATTGGCTACAAATTCATAAAATTAAAATTTGCATGATAATTATTTAAGTTTCATAACATGGCTTTGCACAAGATGTTTTATATCATTAAACCAATTACGTTAGGTATTTACCTATCTAAAAAAAACTCATTGCATTATATAACTACATTCATTCAATAATAAGATATGCCATTACTATTTGGGGTAATGCTCCGGATATTATAAAAGTTTTAAAATGTCAAAAACAGTCTATAAGAATAATCAATGGTCTGAAAAAAGTAGCCCGGCAAGAAAACATTTTAATAACGACAAAATAATGACAGTGGTTTCGCTTTATATATATAGTAGTTTATTAGAGGTACATGAGGATAAAGAAATACCGGAAAAAAAGACATTAATCAACACAATCTGCGTAATAATGAAAAACGTGTTCTACCCGTGAACAGATTCGTGAAAGTAAAAAAACATGGGCGTTACTCATAAATATTGATGTATAATAAATTACCAAAAAGTTTAACCAACCTACACTAGAGCAAATTTAAACGGAAACTTAAGTATTTTTTTTGAGAACAACCCATTTTACAAATTAAGCGATTACATGTCAACGCAACTCATGGCATCGTCATTCTTGCGTAGCTTGCTAACAAAATAAATTACCTAATTCTGTGACGTAAAGCGTCAATATAATTAAATTAAGCAAATAGTACAATAATATAATTTTACCTTATAAATTTAGAAAAACTTTTGTAACCAATGACTTGCCTGTAACGATTATTATTATGGTCAATAAATATTTATGATTTCTGGTTGCTAAGCAAGTGGTAAAATCAATTTTCATACAAAATTTGTCTAGTCGTCCGTTAAGATGTCATTAATTTTATTTCTAGTGTTAATTGTAAATATGTTAACAATTATATCAACCCACCTTTCTTATATGGAATATGCTCATGTTCAATATATTTAATATTAAAAATAATCAACTCTCTCTTCTATAAATGAACTTAGTACATAAATGAATGAATCTAAAATGTAACTTATGTCTCATTGTCACAGGGCCAGCTATTAAGTATAGAAATAGAAATGTGTTTGTTATGTTTTGAACCAATTCTGAGATTAGTTGTCTGCGTCGTTGAATATGTCTGTTTATATGTTCGCTTCTTATTTAGTATCTATGAATTTAGTAAAGTAAGAACTATTTATTTATTTAATTGATTTCATTTTATATATTATATTCAAATAAATTACATTTTAGACAAGCAACGTGGATTTAATATAGGCAATGAGAAGCATGCCATTTGCATGATATTTACAAATATATAATGCTAAAGGCCTAATGCTAATGTATAGGGTGCCTAAATTTTGCACGAAAACCATTGTAACTTGGTAGTTCGAACCATTGGGACATATCATGCTAATAACTTTAATGATTTGAAATACCAATTATCTATGAAAACATCATGGGACTTACAATGATCATTAGTCTATACCTATCTGGAAACTTACAAATTAAATGTTTAATAATAAATTTTACGTAATACTTCACAGAAACGCCGTCCACCATCATTCTTCTCCAACCTTCACGAATGTCTTAACATAATGGTGCGATCATTCCGTCAAGATAATAAAGAAGTCTACACGTCTGATACGCTTAAACGTGTAGAGTATTTATTGAAGATTCATGGTATGGAGACTAGGGAACTAATCCATCAGTATCATTTAGAGAGGTGGCAGGAGCAACAGTCAGTAACTGAACCAAAGATGGGTGTGCTCACTGTAAGAGCGCAGTTTATAGACGATAATTTAAAAATAGAAATTATGAACGCGAGAAATTTGATGCCAACGGACTCGAATGGTGAGCTCTTATAATTCACATTTATATTAGAGAATATAATATAATAAGAGACAAAGGGTTTTTATCAACATTATTTTTATAACAATCAATCTACTTGATGGTGGTAAGTGGATGTTGTGACACATAGATAACTACATCTACCTATCATGCATTTAGAATCAGAATGAAGGTGCATTGTCACCTTCACTCGGATAAAGATAGACGGTTCATGACCAGTAAAAAGGGTCTCCGACTTTCTCCACTTGCCATTGGAATCGTAGCAGCGCTATGTTGCTATTTTACGCTGGTATTCTATGTGGGCGTGGTTCGAGTATTCTATGCGAGCGTCGTTCGAGTATTCTATGCGAGCGTGGTTCGGTCGAGTATTCTATGCGAGCGTGGTTCGAGTATTCTATGTAAGGTGTTCGGTATTTGCGAGCGTTCGAGTATTCTATGCAAGCGTGGTTCGAGTATTCTATGCGAGCTTGGTTCGAGTCAATTCATTGTTAATTCAGTATTATATTGTGTAGTACCTCTTTTTTTCTTTGACTGCTCTAGTGTAGTTTTCTTTGGTGTGGTGTTGGTAAACGCATCTGCTAATAATGATGTTCTGGGTTCAAATCTCGGGTCGTGCCAAAAATAATCAGTTCTGCACTTATGTTTACGCACGCACTCGCGCACGATAATTCTGTCCTGCACAGATACCTAGTCTCTGTTATGGCTGGCCGCCGTGACCGGAAGTTGGTCTGGAGAACATTTTTATTACATCATATCGAATTCTTAACCATATATCTTAGACCTCTCACTCGTTTAACTATGTGCATAAACTGCAGTATCAAACGTTTGACATGATTCACACTACTCCGTGTTGTCGGTTCGGGCGCTTACTTCAGGTTTATGTTACAGTTTCGGTAATTATTCTAACATTTTTACAGCAATATTTAATTATAGATTTTCGGAACCTGTAATTTTTTTCGCACAAATTTATAACTTTTGCAAATACCCCTAGTTATTTTCTGTTACTTCATTATCAGTAAAAGTTCGTTGTTTCACATGGGCATCTCTTGTTTGAAGGATATTGTCACCCGTAGCAGGCGAATTGACTATCGATCAGTTATTCATTACTTATATGTTTTAGTTTGTTTAGGGGTGCGAATATCGTAACAAAAAAAGTCCTTATTTTTTTCCAGGTCTCTGTGATTCTTACGTACGTGTAGCGATACTACCAGAAGACATGTTCGCCAGTGTGGCTAAGCCTAAAACTCAAACACACAGCAAAAATCTTTTCCCGCTATACGATGAAATGTTTATTATGTAAGTTTAAAATTATTATATTATATTTAAATTATACTTAGGTAAATATACATAACAGATGTTAATGAATATGTTGCCGAACAAAAAAATGTCTTTTGTGTACGTCGATTTCTCAATATGTTTTGATACAGATGAGAGATTTCATAAAAATATCAAAAGTCATTTGATTTAGAACCCCGTAAAATCTACATTTTCTAAAAGGTATGCCATGATCACCGGTATCTTATATAAGACATTAACTGTACCAGCATTCTGAGAGAAACTCGCAGAATACATCTGATATGATAATTTCGTATGTGGTAGAGCCATGCTGCAGTTATATTAGTAGTATATTTGTAGCACGATTGGGTCAGCTCGATCAGGGAAGGACCACACTCTCACAGAATACCAGCGTCAAATAGTAGCTTAATGCTGCTGTGTTTGGTATGGTGAGTGTAGAGAACCGGATACACTTTTTACTGGAGACGAGGTATTCCATCTTAGTCGTCATAGTGACAACGCATCTGTTTTGATTTGTAATCGAGGTTAGATGTAGATGTCTGTGGGCCGCAGCAACCACTTACCATCAGGTGGACTGTGTGCTCGGTTGTTACCCCATCCTATAAAAAAAATTAACGACTGATTGTTATCAGTTAATGTTTTTACGAGTATATAAATAATACGACACTGTTAACAACTTGCAATAATAATAGAAAGTTGTTACCTAAGTCAATCGCAGTACGCAACCGTAGTATAGTATAGTCTGTCATAATGAGTTCTACAGTCAAGCGGCATTTTCGATCATAATTTAAACCTTTGTTCTATATAGCATAAGCATACGAATTTGTGTCATAAGAAAGAAAACACACTTATATATTATATATATATATATATATATATATATATATATATATATATATATATATATATATATATATGCGCGCATTATATATAATGTATATTGTGTGTGCGCTTATCTTGCCCTTATATATTTCAAGAAAATAAACATAAAAATGTTTTAGGTTAAGTAATTTCGCATAACATTAAACAAACACAACTTTTTCCACAGCCCATTAACGCCTGAGCAACGTCGTATTACTGACGGCCTGTTGCACTTCGTCGTTAAGGATAAAGACATGTTCAGTGTTAGCAATACGTTCGTTGGCGAGGCGTATCTACACTTCAGCGAGGTGCCCGACACTCCAGCACCTATCAGCAGTCTATCGCAGCAGCATTTGCCTCTAAGCAGACCTGATAGTATCGGTGAGTGAAGCGTTAATACTTTAAATCTGAAATAAGTTTTGATTAATAAGGTCGATGTGGAAGTAAGCTTCTCGAGTGGCAGCCTCGTACCGAAAAGCTAAGTGTACCTTCACTTGGTGGATTGGCGAACTGGTAAAAGAAGCAGTATGTCGATGGATGAAAGTGGCTCAAGACCATGATTTGTTGCATTTCTTGGTGGAGGCCTATATGAAGCAATGAAGTTGTGAAAGGCTGTAATGATCGCGAATAAAGCCTATAGTGAATATTGAGTACAGAATTTTATAAGTAAACATTTTTCAATAGGTATATAATGTTTGTACGCGCCTTTTATTTTACGTACGTGCTCGGCGGCGAAGGAAAATATTGTGAGAAAATCTGCATGTCTGAGAAATCAGAAACATATTTCGAAGACATGTGAAAACCACCAACACGCGTTGGGCCAACGCTTCTGACATTTCCTTGCATAATCTAAATCGACATGTTCGTTCTACAACCCACTATAAACAAAGAAGGCTACGGCTAATTCGTTGCCACTCCTGCCTACTAAAGCCTCACTCACGACTACGTTTGCAAGTTGACTTAGGTTATGTTTTCATTTTTGTGTAATGAATTTGGATCACATTAAAATAATATTTTCTCGTTGCTGCAGATGGTGATGCAATCAAGGCTCTGGAATCGAGACAAGGCGATAAGCAAGCAAGAGAGTTCCTAAAAAAACAAAGACAGAAAATGCCCAGCAAACAATTCTTCTCACTTGGTTGATCACACAGCGCTGAGCGTAGTTGTATTGTTTCTGTCACATTTTCTTTAAGGGTGCTAAAAGCTTTATTTCCTATTTCGATAAAAAGAAATGGGATATCGATGTTAGCCATATAGGTAAAAGACGTAAAAATTATATAAGTACATCTTTTAGAAAACATAATACATGTTTATATTTATAAACACTTCCATGCTTTTGTACTAATTGTGTAGTACCATAATAATTTATGGACTGAAATTGTTTATACACCAGAATCGAATATACACCGATGAAGTCTCCTAACAACAACTTGAAGTTACTCAAGTTTTGCTTAAATAATCATATACATACATACATATTCATGGCGTCACGCCTGTAAACCATGAGGGGGAGTCCAAAGAGTAGCAAGCTCTCGGACCAAGTTGAAACAAAAAATATAATATTGATCGGAAGTTTGTGAAATCAGTGATGATAGGAGTCCAGGGGATGCACCCCTACAAAATTACAAACCCATTAATCCATTAGTCGCCTTTTACAATACTAATTGCATAATCTGTGCAAATATTAATCCCACATAAACATGGACCTGTATATCCAAGACCAACATGGGAAATATAAAATTACAATATATTGAGATTAAATTAAATGTTTTGAATTTTTAATGAAAAGCTGGTTGAGACTGACATAATATTTTTGTTAAGCGCAAATTGAAACGGTTCAAACCATTAGACGGTTGAAGTGTTAGTTGAGAATTTTGCCATCACTTTGATACTGATTATTTATCACTTGTTAGAAAATTGGGCGGTTTATGTCGTATTCAGCACTTTAATTGAACGTAGAATATAAAGTAAACATATTTGATTTGTGCTGAAATATATAGAATATAGTGTGTAGTCAAATTTTTCAAAATACCCTGTTTAATGTTTAAAAAAATATTTTCTAATGAAGTTGGAATCAAAAAATTTAAAATCAATCAAAGGCTTTAGATTGTATTTGGGGGGGGGGGGGGGGGTTGTTAAGGTATTAAGGATGTCACATTATCAGATAAAACGTTAATTTAATGAGAAACCCAAACTGAAACGTTTATTTTGTTAACATTACGCATTGAGAAAGAAGAAAGATATTTTTAATTTTTACACGCTGAGTATGATATTTTTATATCGTCCAACGTTTTTGTGCATTATGTTGAAAGAGAGTTTGTAGTAAATGTTTTGTGTGTGTACTTGATAAATTATTTTATACTTTAAAACATAAATATTAATGTAAGCAGTAAGGAATGCCTATGTGTGTGAATTAGCTGTTTTCTTTAAAAAAAAAGGATTATTTATAGTTATCTAGTAGCTATGTTCTGTGATAGAAAGAAGTGCCTTATGAAATAATTTTATTTTGTATTTGTAATCACATACATATATTTATATTAGAAAAGTTTGAGAAGGTATGGTTCAAAACTTCCTCGTTTTATTTTGCCAGATTATTTTGTTTTATTCAGTTGTTACGAAAGCTTATTATTCAAGAGTTCAAGAATGTATTGCAATGGATCTTTTGTGTATTTTTTATTTATTAATACTAATAAAACAGTTCATAATACCAGTGTTTTTTTACTTTATTTAGGACAACATTTATACTAATGGCTAACAACAAATTTAATTTCATATGGTATAACCAGCTCAGTTATAGTCCAGTCTTGTATGAAATTCAAATTACCGAGGGTAAACTATAAAAAAATTAAAGTAGACTGAAACAAAAATAAAATAATTTAATATTCTGAAGTCACACCACGTGGCGGCGATGTAAGAATATTTACTAACCCCTAACCCATATTGTCCATTGGATATCGTAAGAGGCGACGGAGGGAAACTGAAAAAGGCGATAGACGACAGCATCTTCGTAGTAACATCTTAAAATAATAAAAGAAACTGATGCTGCCAACACGCTTGTAAAGCGGGGCTATGTCACAATCCACGTTACCCTGTAAGGCAATCTATGGACGAGGCCTATGTTCAGCAGTGGACTTTTATGGGCTGTGTGTTAAGGGGAAATATAATGTCAAATGGCTTAGCAAGATCCTTCGTTATGCCGAAAATATTGCAGCATTAATTTTGAAATAAATATATGGTAAAGTTGAGGATTAATGTTAGTGATTATGTTAGACGAAAACACGATTTCGTAAAATTTTCTCGATAGAAAAAAAATCCAAAGTTACCTCCAAAATAAACAATAAACCGCTGTTATTCATAAAATACTTTAAATAAGATCATGAAACTTTGCATACTAACTGAACTAACTATAAAGCAGTGCTTATGTTATTTACTTTTTTTAAAATACCATTATTTTCACTGTAAAAAGAAATTACCTAAACTATCGGCGTCTTGAGCTTGATTCCCGTCGTTCCGTTAGTATCGCTTAGTCTTTTGAAGGGAGAAGTTGTGTCGCTTACGATCAGAATATACATTACGCAACAGTACGACGTAAAATTAAAATGGGAAATAACCGTGATAAAAATAAGAAGCGGCTGGCTTGGCTTTAAGAAACAGGCATAAATATGATAAACCTAATGAAATAAGTGTCTAACGACCTTTCTACTTACAGTATTAGTGATTACAAATATTTCGGTACATAGCATACGACGCGCGGGGAAGTGGGGGCGAAATTAGAATTTGAGCTGACTTACTCTAACCTCTTAATCGCAAAGCGCGTAGGGTATAATCTAGCGCCTAATTATCTGACGTTTTGTCGCATGAAATCGTATCTAACAAACATATTGAATTACGTTGTCAGAAAGATAAATGATTGTTGAACTTATTATTTTTTAAATCGATTAATTGCTATTTTTACATAAAAAATGTGGTTTTAGTGGCTTATGATGTAGATTTATCAAGTCCGCATGGAGGGGTAAACACGATAACTTCTACTTAATCTTTTTTTAATCTCTTCATCTATCATGTGGGAAGCCATGGAATGTAAATGGCAGTTTAACTCTATTTTGTTTAGTTATAATTTTTTTTTCGGCTGAGCAATTCCGAACTTTTCGGGGTTTGAGCAGCCTTGTTATAATATATTTTACTAAATACAGTTTGACTCATTCGTCATTCCGGGCTCGGCCCGGCTGCCGTCGTGAATATTACTGTGTCGTTTGTTTACAGCGGCTCGTGACGAAAAATGTCGAACGCTGTAGAAATACACAATATTCCAAATTTTTTTGGCTCGAAGATAAGGTTATTAGTGAAAACTTGTGTGTAAGTATTTAAATTAATTCAAAAAATTGACATATAACATGAGTGCTTAAGGCATGCAGATTTGGAACTTTTAAGTAAAAGAAGTTATTTTTTTTGCCTTTTTAGTGGACCAAAGATGATAACAATTTCAATGCCGTCTAAATGTTAAACCTTCCTTTTGCTACACTTAAGGGTTGAATTTTTTTTTTCAAATTTATGTGGGATCGAGTATAACTACTTACTATTTAACAAAAAAGAATAATCAATATCGGTTCACAATTGATGAATATACCCTTTCTTTAAAGTTAACAATAAAAATAGGGAACTGTACATTGTAAACTCATAAAAGAAAATATAAAAGTTTTCAGAAAATTGATGCAGCATAATGCGGAGTCAGTCGCCTTATGATTGCTGCAATATATAATTTTTTTTTTTACCGATTTTCTGTATATTTTATGTTAGTTTATCGTTTTGTAGCGGCGAGTATAGTAAAATATTTTTAAATAAAAGATTATATGGTGAAATAATGGATGCAGGTGGCTCAGGAACGTGCTTTTGTGGCATACCTTGGGGGAGGCCTATGTTCAGCAGTGGACTTGTGAAGGGCTGTAATGATGATGATGATGATGATAATGGTGAAATTAGCTCAAAGTAAAAAAACAACAATAATTAAAAGTAAACTAGATTGCAATTGCTTCCGCAAATGGTGCGGGCTAGATGGATGTTGCGACCCTGGCGACTATTTTCAATTAATCGTATTAGGATTTCCTCTGACCACAGCTGAATATAGGCCTCCCCCAACGACTATTACGGTCTTGAGCCCCCTAGATACAAAAACATTTGCATATTTTACCTGATCGTCCGGCCACCATCCAGTGGGGTTACATCGCTACGCTTACCAGGAGGCTGTCACCCAGAAAACTTTCTTCTCTATGGATTGTCGGTTCTTCGAGCTGTGGCCAGCCCATTGCGCACTCTACTAATACTTTACTAATACATTAGATGATGTTGGTAACTCTGGTTCAGCCTCGGATATCTTCGATACGGATTCTGTTACATGGCGACATTAAGCTTTTTCATGCGTCCAAAGTAAAGGACCATGTCTCGGTTCCATATGTCATATCTGGTTACATGTTCTGGTTGTACACTTGTTTTGAGATTTTAAGGCTTATTGGACTACCCAGTTTTCGTTTAATTAATCGGTTGACTGCTTGATCGAAATAAGATATGCCCAGTGAGATTATTCTGTGTCCCTTGTGAAAAAAACACGGATCTGTGCGATCGAAGTTGTTTACATGATGGTGTTCATATTAAATCAACAGAATCTAGGGATATTTTATATTTCATCAAATATCTAAAAATCTATGAAGAATTTTCTTATATAGTAAATAGAAGTATTATTATAGGTTATTTTAAGGTTTTTAATAAAATGATAAAAACATTTCGTAATTTTTTTTAATCACCGTAGAAATTTAGTATAAAAAACTTTGTTTCTTCTTATAAAACTATTAATTTTAATTAAAATTTAAAAAATCTTATAAATTATAATCATCAATAATCAGTTTTGCCACCTATTACATTAATTACACATCGACATCGATTGTTCATACTTCAAATTAAATTATCAATGTCTTGCTGCGGTATTAGGTCTCATGTTCTTTGCAAGTGTTCCGAAAGTTGTTTTTTCGTCGTCAAATTTGGCGGAAAATCTCTCAAAGCTTTTGATTGTAATATGTCACAGGTATGGTTGAAAGGATTTAAGTCAGGTGACTGTGCAGGCCAATCCAAAACTTGAAAATATCGTGGTC